TTCAGCATGCCCTAGAAAATACCCCAGGTGCATGTTAGGCCATTTGTAGGCCATTTCAACGTGGTGGCCTAGAAAACCCAACTTTCAAAAGTTAGGCCACTACTTCAAAATCAATTCGCCTCGAGGAATTTTTCGAGAAATCTCTCAAAGTCGTGTCGATAAGATACACTGTTTCTGAGTCAATTATTCAAATTTCCCGCCAAAACAGTTATGTTACAATAGAGCGCACTTTCTTGCAGCCCCCACCCAACGTCACTATGTCACATCAGTTGGCTCGAATCGTTTCTTCAATTTGGGCCTTCTCTCCGACGGATCGCCGGTCGCCGAACCTCATTTAGTCCAGCTGCCAGCACGGGTCCGCCAAATTGAAATGTCCAATTCTCACACAATTTTTCTCACTGATCCATCCCCCGAAAATCCAGAAAATCGATTATTTGGGTGTGGAAAAGCGGCTAGCTTCCTTCCAGAATCTTCGGTTTCCAACGAACACCATAAAACGGGAGGATACGTGGCACTACCCGTTGCTATTAGATCCCAAAATGGGTGTCGAGTGGAACAGTGCCACGTGGCAGAGGGAAAAACGATGTATAGGGTTGGCGAGAGATGGATCAGTGGATCTGGGTCATCGGTGGAACTCAAATTGACAAACTATTCGACGCTGCATTTGAATTGTGAAGGGAAATGTGTCAAGGTGCGGCATTTTTGGACCATTTTAGCCTGGTGGCCTAGAAAACTCAACTTGAGAAAGTTAAGCCACCTTGCTAAAATGACCTAGAAAAAGTATGAAGTTCACCTAGGGTGTTGTCAGCTTAGTGGCCTAGAAAAATAAAAATGGGAAAGTTAGGCCGCCATGCTAAAAAAACCCTTAAAAAGCTAAAAAATTTCCCTACTGTGTTTTCTAGGCCATTTTAGTATGGTGGCCGAACTTTTGAGTTTACTAGGCCACCATGGAAAATGATGGAAAATGACCTAGAAAACGTTACAAATTCATCTAGTGAGTTTTCCAGGCCATTTTAGCATAGTGGCCTAGAAAAATCGATATAGGAAAGTTAGGCCATCATGCTCAAATGGCCTTTAGAATGGTGGCCGAACTTTGAGTTTTCTAGGCCAACACGGTAAATGCCCTAGAAAAGCTTGAAAATTCATCTAGTGTGTTGTCTAGGCCATTTTAGCTTGGTGGCCTAACTTTTTCATGTTCCTAGGCCACCAATTTTCGCTTTTCCAGATCTTTCTCCGAATTCAAGACCGCCGAATTTTCTGGAATCGAACTGCGGATTTCGAGGCTCAAAAACCTGTGGAATTCATCGTCAATGGATTCACAGACGCCTATTTTTTCGATGGGTTCCAAATTTTGGCAGATGGAACGATCTACGTGGCAAATAATGGACTTCTGAAAGGAAGATTGGAGTTGTGGAAGAATAAGGATGATGGATTTCAAGGTTTTTCCTCTTTTTTTTTGTGGAAAATTCTGAGAAAAATGACCCAATTTTAGCCCCATAATGGGCCATAAACCCCAAATTTTTGGCCTAAAAATCAATATTTCCCCATTTCAGTCGATCGAAAAACCGCTCGGAGCACTTTGACACCAAATACACCCTAGTTGGAATTTTGGACGAAATTCCTGGATCTTGTGGAACGGATTTCTTCAAATTATCACCAGATGGACAGAATTTGATAATGAAGAAGGGGAAGGAGATTACGGTAGGATTATAAGCTTAAATTAGGCTAAAATAGGCCTAAAGCAGGCTCAAAATAAGCGAAAATAGGTCAAAAATGGGCTAAAATCTGGCTTAAATAGGCTGAAAGTAGGCTAAAAATCGGTCAAAAACAGACCGAAAATTGGCTAAAATTTGGCTTGAATAAGCTGAAATAGACCAAGAATAGGCCTAAAGTAGGTCAAAATAGGCTTAGAATAGGCTGAAATTAGGCTTCAAAGGGGCCAAAAATGAGCCAAAATAGGTGAAAACGGACCAAAAACGGATTAAAAATTGGCCAAAACTTGGTCAAAAATATGTCGAAAATCAGTTTTTGGCCTACTTTTGACCCATTTAAGCCTATTTCTGGCCTGTTTTCAGCCCATTTTAAGCTCGTTTTTAGCCTATTCTGGCCCGCTTTTGGTACATTTTTGGTCCATTTTCAGTTCATTTTAGGTTTTTTTATAGCCTATTTTAAGCCTATTTTCGACCAAATTTTAGCTTATGTCTGACCTATTTTTGACACATTTTTCAGTCGATTTTCAGTTTCTCAAAGACCCTTTGTAGCCCATTTTTCAGCCATTTTTAGCCTACTTTTAGTCCAGTTTTGACATATTTTTGGCCCGTTTTTGACCCATTTGTACCCCCCTTTTCAGCCAGTTTTGATCCGTTTTTGAGCCATTTTAAGCCTATTTTCAACCCTGACACATCTTTGGCTCATTTTTAGCCTACTTTTAGCCTGTTTTAGCCTATTTTTAGCCCACTTTTCACTTATTTTCAACCCGTTTTCGAATCATTTAGCTCTCATTTTTAGCCCCCATTTTATCCTATTTTTAGCATATTTTTGACCCATTTTCAGCCCACAAGTCTATATTTTTCAGCCACCAGGAGACGCGCCTCGTACAGTATTCGAATCGATTCAACACCACAAAATTATCAAAAATCGATCGGATCAATACGATCCAATCGATATTGCAATGGATTTGACAGTGATCTTCAAAAATGATGATAATGAGCCGGTTTTTGTGGATTACGAGGAAGAGTACGAAAATGATGAGTCGCCGAAATTTGAGACGAATCGATTTTTGTTCGAATCGATGTTTCCAGAACATGTGGAACAGATCCAGGGAGATGAGATTGTTTTTGATGTCGAGGAAAATCCGAATTCGGATTTATTTGTTAATTGGGAGAGGTAATTAGGCCTAACGGTCAAAAAGCAATTGATCTGGTAGCAACTGAGTATTTGCCGGCCTAACTGGAGTTAACATGATACATTTTTGAAATTTTTGGAAATCCCGAATTTTCGGATTCTGTAAATCCCAAAAATCGATTTTTTTTTTGGAATTTCCGAATTTTTGAAATTTCTGAAAAATCGCGAAATTCGTAAATTTTTTGAAAATTTCAAATTTATCGAAAATCTCAAAATCAGGAATCCGCAATTTCCAAAAAAAAATCCCACAAAAAAATCTGGAAAATAACCAAATATTGAAAAGGTATTTCATAATCGCATGAAATTCAAAGGCACACAAGACGATGCTATGCGCCTTTGAATAGTTAAGAAATACCTATAAAAATAGGAATTCAGCAATCTTTTCCATAAATTTGGGACCATTTTTCATGAATTTGGGACTATTTTTCATGAATCTGGGACTATTTTTCATGAATTTCGGATCATTTTTCATGAATTTAAGACCATTTTTCATGAATTTGGCACCATTTTCCATGAATTCGGGACCATTTTTCATGAATTTGGCCCCATTTTCCATGAATTTGGGACCATTTTTCATGAATTTGGGACCATTTCTCATGAATTTTGGTCTATTTTTCATGAATTTGGGACCATTTTTCATGAATTTGGGACCATTTTTCATGAATTTGGGACCATTTTTCATGAATTTGGGACCAATTTTCTTGAATTTTCGGGATTTTTGGAATTTTCAGAATTTTTCTAATTTCAAAATTTTCAAAAAAATTTTTTTTATCGATTTTTGTTCTTTTCAGACCCATCTCAACAGAATTCGTCCCGGAAAACACGCCTCTCGCATCGATTTTTCATCTAATTTCGACGGAAAAACAACGAATTCCCTGCCACAAATCCCTGATTCTCGTCCATTCGCGACAAATCGCAGCCATGCAACGATTCAATACGAATTATGGGAATTTTGGAATGGAAATCGCAGATTTTGGGGATGAAAAAGAGCAGGAAATTCGAGAAATCGAAATGAATGCGACGGCTGAAGTGATAAGAAATGCTATCGGAGGGATAAGGGATATTCGAACACTTTATGGAATTAAGACTATTGAGGTGCGGACATCCGGAAACACAGACAGAGACCAGACAGATTTTGGAAAATTTGAAGAAAAAAAACGGAAAATTTGAAAATTCGCCAAAATTTGTCAATGTTTTCTCATTTGAAAAGAAAATTTTGTGTTCTGAAAATTCTGAAAATTCTGAAAATTCAAATTGAACTTTTTTTTCAAAAATTCCAAAAAATCGATAATGATGAAATTTCAAAACTTTAGAACTTCCAAAATCGGAAAATTTCAAAAAATTGAATATTTTGAAAATAAGGAAAATCTGAAATTGCTGAAAATTTCAAACTTTAAAAATTCCAATTTTCTCCCAGCTCATCGAATGCATTCACTTCTACGACTACCATCTAATGGAGGAAATGTTCCGAGACGCGTGGAAAATCCTGGGAGATACAGTAACCGAGCATACTGTATCGTTTCTATACGAAATGTACAGTATGTATGAGGATCAGGTCGTCGAGGCACTTGCCAAACGACCACACTTGGTTTATACGTCGATTTCCGGAATCATACCTCCTAGGGGATTGCTGAAGAGGTGAGGATTTGGAAATTGATAAAAAATTGTAAAAAAATGATCTAAAATTCATCTGAAATGGTTCTAATTTCATGAAAAATAGTCCAAAATTCATAAAATATGATCCGAATTTCTTGGGAAAAGGTCCAAAATTCATCAAAAAATAGCCCGAAATACATGGAAAATGGTCAAAAAGTGATGAAAAAAGATCTAAAATTCATGATAAATGGCTCAAAATTCATGAAAAATGGTCCCAAATTCTTCCAGACTCTCGAAAAACCTTCCCCAAAGAATCCATCATCAAAAACCCCACCCCTCCACTCCATCGGATCCCTCCAAATGGTCTCTTGCCACGTGTGAAACCGAGTACGTCATCAAAAATCTTGTGAATCTCGACGACGATTGGGAGGAGTTCATCTGGAGTGCTTTACGAGAGAAATGCGACGATGAGCTTGCCACGTGGCACGCAGAAGCCGCGCGGAGAAGAGAAGAACGACGAGGAGCGGTGAGAAGTCGGACGACAAGTCATAAGAGGAACTCAAGGACCCTGATAGAAGCCCTGACGTCGTCACCGGTAATTCAGAGTTTCAGAATTCAAAAATTATCCGAAATTCATGAAAAATGGTCAAAAATTCATGAAAAATGGTCCGATACAGATGAAAAATAGTCCAAAATTCATGAAAAATGATTCAAAATTCGTGAAAAATGGTTCAAATTTCCTGAAAAATGGTCCAAAATTCATGAAATATGGTCCAAAATTCACAAAAAAAATGATCCAAAAATCATCGAAAGTTGTCGAAATTTTATGAAAACTGGTCCAAATTTCATGAAAAATGGTTCAAATTTCATGAAAAATGGTTCAAATTTCATGAAAAATGGTCAAAAATTCATAAAGAATGGTCCAAAATTCACAGAAAATGGCCCAAAAATCATGAAAAAACGCTGAAAACTTCCAGATTCCAATAGGAGGACGTCCCAAAACTGACAGCTTCTCGAAATCGCTCGCCAGCCCTTCAGCTCAATCTCCATTGGCTTCAATGTCAATGTCGCCAAAAGGAGGAGTTCCAATTGGAAAGGTAAAATTCAAAAAATATGAGAAATCAGAAATTCTGAAAATCCGAAAAAATGGAAACTTTTTTAAAAAATTTCAGAAAAATCAATAACTTTCGAAAAATCGATAATTTTCAAAAAGTCAAAATTCGAAATTTTCAGCAATTTTTCTGTGTTTTCAGCCCCGCAACGACTCCATATCGAATTCTCTGGACGACTTCCCTGAAATGGGATTCATCTCTCCATCAACCCCAAAATCCACGTCATCAGCTCGATTCGCACCGAAAGGCGCTCGTTTCAAGAAGGATTTAAACATTCTGAAGCCGTTGGCACCGGTGAATCCATGGAAGACGTCCGCCACAACGTCTTCTGAACCGTCTCCAGCGATTTGGGAGCAAGAAGAGCGTGTGAATTTCGATGAAGTCATTAGAAAAGAAGAGAAATTGCAGAAGAATATCAGTGAGAATTCATGTTTTTAATTGAAAAAATTCAAATTTTCTTTTTTTTTTCAGAATCCGGCTTCAAAAAAGTCCGCCTCCTGCCCCATGTCGAACTTGAAGAGCTCGCGCGAGCTGAGATTTTGCAAATTTTCGCTCAAGAACTGCACGATGAGGCGTTAATTAAAGTAATTAGAGTAATTAATTAGCTAATTAAAAGGAAAATTCCAGGTTGAGCTGGTGGATGAGGATTTCGGTGTGGAAAATGAGGAGATTGTATGGGGACACATGCCAGGACTTGTTCGTCGTTAATTATCGACTTTCTAAATTAGTTAATGAGATTTTTCTGTATTTTTCGTGTAAATTTGCATTCCATGTTAATGGGGTTATTCACGTAGCGAAAATATGTATTGAAATGCATTTCCGCGCCCTCGAAATTCAATGCATGAGCGTCGCGAAATGTATTTCAAAGCATTTCGCGACATAACTGTAAATGCATTGAAAATACATCGCGTGGC